TCCTTAGCCTTTGCTATGTCTGAAACAGCTACTTTGGCACTCACTTAAATTTTTTTTAAATTGTGGTAAAATACATGCAACATAAAAATTACCATTTCTTGCTCTCTTATTTTTTTTTTTTTTTTTTTTGAGACAAGTAGTTGCTATGAACGAGTCATGGCTGGCCTTGAACTTGTTAAATTGTCCAGACTGGGTTCAAACTTGAAACCCTCCTGCCTCAGCCTTGTAAGCACTGTGATAGCAGGTGTGTGTCACTACACCCAGCCCACCGTTTTAATCTCCTTAAGTGCCCAGGTCAGTGGCCTTAATACCAGCACACCATGGTACAACCACCACCACGTTCCATCTCCGGAGCCCTTTTCATCCTGCCAAGCTGAGAATCTGTCCCCACTGAACACTCAGCTCTACCCCTCCCTCGGCTCTGCCCCCGCCAAGACCCTTCCAGTCTCTGTGAATTTTACCAGGCTTGGCTCCTCCTGGAAATGGAAGCGTGTGAGATTTGTCCCTAGCGACTGCCTTATTCACCTAGAATAACAGTTTTAGGGCTCACCCATGTATATTGTGTGTCAGAATTTCCTTCCTTCTTAAGATTGCATAATACCCCATTGTACAATTATATTCCAATTGCAATGCAGTGTTATTAATGGAATATTATTCAGCCTTAAAAAGGAAGGAAACCTCAAGACCGTCCTCTTAAGTGAAATAAATCGGACGCACATGTGTAAGTACCGCATTGTTTCCCTGGTGTGAGAAACCGCAAGTGTACATAAGGACCAAAGTGTACAACAGAGATTGTGAAATAGGAAGCAAATGTTCAGATGGGAAGGGGAGCAAGAGAGGCATAGGGAGAAAGGAGGGACGGGAAGAGAAAAAAATGAGAAAAGAAGGAAAAAATGGAAACAAAACTGTTGCAAATCGGGAGGGGACGAGGCTGCAGGGAGGGCGGGGGGAGGGGGAAAGAAGAAGCAAGACCCACCAGGTACGGGTGGGAATTCCCTCTGATGACTGGGATCACTGTGCACACCTAACACGCACCACGGAACTTATCAATAGAAGCAAGGAAGGGCAAGAGCGGAGTGAGCCCCCGACTGGACGAGGCTGCCTTGCACGGGGATGGACAGCGCAGGCCCTCCACAGTACCCCAGTGTCTCCTGCCTCTGGAGTTTTCCAGCTGGGCTGCTGGGAAAAGTCAGAATTTGGGGCCTTTTGTGAGCCCCTAGCAGCGCCCCTCCTGTCCTTCCAGAAGGTTTCTTCCCCAGCCCCGAATGGCTCCCCCACGGTGTCAAGTGATCACCACCCTTCTGGGTGGGGGGTGTGTGTGTGCTCTGGACCAGGTTCAGGTCTCTACACACAAATGTTCCCTCCCAGTGCCGTGCTGACACCTCTAACTCCCAACTCCGCTTGCCAATGGGCTCAGCTTGGCCTTTCCTCCTGAGGGCTCTGGACCCCAGGCTGACCTTGAACTCAATTTGATCCTCCTGCCTCAGCCTCCTGAATGCTGGGATCACAGATGTGTCGCCACGCCCAGCTTTAACATTTTGTTGGGGTTTTTTGTTGTTGTCGTTGTTTGAGATAGGGTCTCACTATGCAATTCAGGCTGGACTTGAACTCACTATATAGCCCAGGCTGGCCTCGAACTAATGGTGATCCTCCTGCATCGGCCTCCCCTGGGATTATAGGCATGCAACACCATGCCTGGTTTGGGCTCTAAAATTTTTTTGGCGGTGCTAGGGATGGAACACAGGACCTCGCACGCCAGGCAAGCACCCTTCTGCCCAGTTCCAGCCCAGCCCTGTTTTCACATATTTTGTCCTTCAGGTGAGAGGGGAACCTGGTCCCCTTTCTGCCACCTGAGCCCAACTTGAAGTCCAAACACTGATTAGTATCAGGGACATTGGTGACGGCCGTCCAGGGCCACTGGGAATTGTTTCTGCGACTTCCTAGCAACCTAGGAATATGTTTGGAGAAAATCATGTTTGGAGAAAAAGCTTTTTAAAGGTTTATCTAAGAAGCCACAGGAGAGGAAATGGAATGTTAAAGCTGTATTGAATTAACCTTAAAAAAAAAAAAAAAAAAGGGCAGGGAAGGAACCAAAGGGACAGAGAGAAAACAAAGTGCAAGGTGGTGAATGCCCTCTGGCTATTTCACAATTACAGGTAAAGGCAAAGGCATTAAGCGCTCTAATTAAAA